GTCTGAGTCCACTAGATCCTTTCAGAGGTGCATCCAGCTTTGTGAGCTCATAAAGTCTTCCAGAAACTTAACCTGGATGATGGAGGCTTTCAGTGGTGCTTCTGACTGAGCCGAGCCCAGTTTGATAAGCTGTTTTCGGGGTCGGCTGGAGGATTTCCCCCGAGACACCAACAACAGATGCTACGTCATAATCACGCCCACACAAGAGCCCCACTTAAGTTCAGATTTTTGAACTTGAGCAATTTGCGCGTCAAATGCATCAAATGCGCAAAAACGCTCAATTTGCACGTATCGCGTCATTCACACCGTGCCATTCGCCCAATTCACGTCATTCGTTACGCGCCATTCGCGCATATCGTGCCGCAGGATGTCAATTTGCGCATTTGCCTTGACTTAACATGTAAATCCCTCATGCTTGTTGCGAGTTCTGCGTCTGGTGTGAACGCAGCATAAAGATTGTGTAGTGTCATTGATTCAAGACCTGTGAAGAGTTGATGCCAACCATAGAGGTCTTCTAGAGGTATCCATAATCCTGGACCAGGTCGTATCCTGAGCAGATGCTGAGGTGGTAGTGGAGGAGTCGGGAGTGGAGAAGCTGCAATAACCTGCAGCTTCTCCATGATGTATGTCCAGTGTTCTCCAGCCCCCAGCTCCTAGACTGCAGCTCTGCACGAGAAATTTGGCTCGAGGAGAAGTCTGGTTTCTCTCAAGGTTTTTTCCTTCATTTCCACTGTTGCCACTGGTTTGCTTGGTTTGGGACTTGTAGAGCTAAGCATCAATGGATTTGCTCTTCAGTGTTTGGACTTTCAGCAGTGAAAATCAAACCACGATGAACTGAACTAAACTGAACTTCAACTCTGAAAACTGAACTGACACAGTTTCAATGTACTAGAAATTCTATGTTAAGCTGCTTTGACACAATCTACAGTATAAAAGCCTTATAGAAATAAAGACACATTCAATTGAATTGAATATATACACTTTATATGTTTCAGTCATATGAGATCATTAAAAAATCACACTGTGGGACATGGAACTAATGATCCTACAGCTTGCAATGTAGAACGTACTATGATGACATCTTTTGAATTGTAGGCTATGACACATTTTAGTATAGAAAAATAAAATGCCATCAGCTTTCACATGTGGTAAACAACTAGAGCAAGATAAATCGCATATCAGCCAAAGGGCACAGCAAGACCTCTGCTGCTACAGCTTTACAAGATTTGAATGCTGTATAGTGGCATCTCTATGGTATTTAAAGGAATTGTTCCCCTGCTAAAAGAAACATTTAATCACCATTTTCTCACCAACTTTGAACCTCTCTCATTGTATGATGTAGAACTGTGGTTTAATGTCCACAACCTGAAAAATAGCCACTATTATTTTTCATATCGCTCATCTTTTATATGGAAAATCCATACAGAGTATATCAGCCTTATAGAGTGCATGCGCAAACACAGACAGCAGACAGTATTTTCAATGACATACAACATTTAAAGGTGCCATAGAATGCATTAAATTGTTCTCTGATATGTACATGGAAGGTTTGTGGCACACCATTGAAGGTCATGACATATCAGGGATTTTGGTTTGTCACTACATTTTACTTCCCATTGATCGTTTTTATTTCTATACCACGTGTTTTACTTGATTGTTTCATGTGTTTTGCCTAATTCATTTTTCACTGCCATATCATCCCACATGACTCTACTTAACCAAAATTAACAAAACTGTTAACGTGTCTAGTTTTTGTAAATATACAACAGATGTTGAATATTGAATAATAATAAATCATTGAAACACAGTTAACAAGTCATTTATAACTCATTAACTAACAGTTTATTAATGGACTATTAACTAGTAATAACATATAGTTATTCTCAACCCAGGCTCATTGTGGAAACAGAGTCCCGCGGACGTTTCTGGAGACCGCGGAATACGTCCCGGCGGGTATATTTACGGCTGCAGTTTTTGTTTTCGCGAATCCGTGAGAGGCCGATTTTGCGCGCTTTTTCGCACCTCAGACGCCTCTTGCGAGCGCGGCTCACGGCCGTGCTGTTCTCGCGTGAACCCGCCGGAGGCCGCCGTCCGACTGACCGGATGAATGACTGCGCGACCGGCCAATCGGCCGACTCGCCCTTCTCCTTCCCCGAACCCAACCAATTTTACCGATCGACCAGCCCGCCCGCTCGCTTCCCTAAACCCGAGCAACAGTTCACAAAAGCCGTCCAAAAAAACAAAAGCCCTGATTTTTTTTTTTTTATTCCACCGCGTTTTCAGATTTCGCCGCGTTCTTACTTTTTGGGATTCTGTTTTTGTCTTACCTGATTGCTGGAGCTGCTCTTCTCCAGACTCGAAACCGGTCGCCGTGGTCGACCCCTCTCCGCATCTCGAGCCTGCCGACGTACACGCTGAGCTGAGTGGACAAACGGGTAAGCAAGGAGGTAAGGCAAGGAGGTAAGGCAAGCGCGAAAGGGAACAGCGTCACACCGCCCCGCAGCGTTCGCTTGAAAAAAATTACCGTGGCCGTACGTACTCCCCGGGACGTATTCCGCTGTCTCCAGAAATGTCTGCGGGACTACGTTTTCAGAATGAGCTTGGGTTGGTTATTCTAAAGTGTCACCGGAAAGACTGTGAACACACTTGTGCTCACAGGCTTAAACACACACAAACCAATTATTCTGTATCTTTTTCCAAAGCTGTATCTCACACGAAGGCCTTTTCTTGGGTTCATCTGGTTGTTGCCATTCGGATGAAAGGTCATGTGCGCTCTGGTGGTCAGCGTGTGTACGTGCACCTAATTTCTGGGCCAGTGTTGAGTCCTGCCTCAGGCTCTAGCTCTATTTAGGTTGATAATGGATGTCTACAGTGAAACATGCAGTCATGTTCACCTACAGCAGGCAACCTCTCACAAGTTCATCTAATATAAATGCAAAAGTTATGAGCGCTTTCTTTTTAGTGGTAAAATCGTTCTTCTCTGGAGAATATTTCTCTGGGCATTAGCATATAAATGCACGTCGGGTGATGCATGTTTAATGGTGGCTGATTTAAATGTATAATATTCTTACACAAAGTGATGATGTAGCTGTAAATGTGCAAACATTGACTGAGGCAGATGAGTTCTGATGCTGAAGAGCAGGTGTGCGGTTCTTTCTTTCTTTCTTTGTGTACTTTTAACTCTCTTTTTTCCTACTTTGTATTACTTTAGTAAATTTATTTTGTCCCTCTATTTTATTTATTTAATACAACTTGTGTCTTCCATTCAATTAATTGAATTGTTTTTTGTTAGTGTTTCCTATCATCAATTTTTTATTATTCATATTTGGTAACATTTACAATAAGGTTTCATTTATTTATTGTTAACAGCAAAAGTTATGTCAATTAATAATTTGGCTGATACCGAATTAAAAAGAAAATGCATTTTTGCCAAATCAAATGTGTTTTATCATTCAACTTTCCAAAATTTTAAAAGACGCTAAGATAAAAAAAAAAAATGAGATGATAAAAATTGCAATATGACAATCTTCAAAAGTGATTTTTGCTGTTCTGTATTTCTAACAACAGTTTTTTTCAACATTTAATTGAACATACACTTACTGGCCACTTTATTAGGTACACCTTACTAGTACTGGTGTTCTGGCGATCTGTGCTACCTCATCAAACCATTACATCACCACCACCAGCCTAAATTTTTGATACAAGGCAGGATAGACCCATGCTTACATGTTGTTGATTTCAAATTCTGACCCTACCATCTGAATCTCGCTGCAGAAATCAGGACTCATCAGACAGGCAACTTTTTTCCAATCTTCTATTGTCCAATTTGGTGAGCCTGTGTTAATTGTAGCCTCAGTTTCCTGTTCTTAGCTGACAGGAATGGCACCCGGTGTGGTCTTCTGCTCTTGTAGCCCATCTGCCTCAAGGTTGGACACTTGTGCATTCAGAGATGCTCTTCTACATAACTCGGTTGTAACAAGTGTTTGTACTGTTGTCTTTCTATCAGCTCGAACCAGTCTAGCCATACTCCTCTGACCTCTGGCATCAACAAGGCGTTTGTGCCCACAGAACTGCCACTCACTGGATATTTTCTCTTTTTCGGACCATTCTCTGTAAACACTAGTGATGTCTGTGCGTGAAAATCCAAATACATCAGCAGTTTCTAAAATACTCGGAGCAGCCCGTCTGGCACCAACAACCATGCCACATTCAAAGTCAATTAAATCACCTTTCTTCCCTATTCTGATGCTCAGTTTAAACAACAGCAAATCGTCTTGACTATGTCTACATGCCTAAATGCATTGAGTTGCTGCCATGTGATTGGCTGATTAGACATTTCCGTCATGAGCAGTTAAAACGGTGTACCTAATAAAGTGGCGGTGAGTGTATGTACTTAATATTATTAACAAATAAGCTAGTGCTGTTGTTTTATGTAAATAATGTAAATTGTGTACATGTAAACTAAATTTGGGTACTTCAGCCAAAAATATAGACTCCCTAAAATGCAGTTACTTTTATTGTCCAAGACATTTAAGCCCATACTGACCAATGGTTTTGAGCAAGGGTGCACACTAGTTCCCTTCGTGATGCACATCTGACATTTTGTACATAATAGACTTGCATATGATTTTTGTACAGATTATATTTGCAAAACGCATTTAGGCATGACTGTCAGAAATTGGTCTCTATTTTGCTGTTGCCCAAACTAGTTATGATACTATATACAGATAATTAACTAATGAGACCTAATCGTATCTACCATTTTCTTGTTCATTCTGTTTGTTTGGGTTCTTTTATTGGTTTGCAATATTTCTCAATAGTATTATTCCTGTTTCTTTTTTTTTATTGTTGATTCTCTCCTTCATTTTATTTCTTATATCTTCTTGTTTTATTTTGTTCTGTGAAACACTTTTAAATTAGAAAGAGGGGATACTGTCTGACAATCACAATCTTGTATACATTACAATGTAACAAATAAAATGAAATTTCTGTCTTCACAGAAACCCAAGCAGAAGGACTGGCACCCTCCTGATGGTTTCATTCTTGGGCTCTGGACTCTCATCCTGCTGGTGTTCTTCCAGACCTACGGCATCAAACATCTCAAACACATCTTCTGATTCCACAGAGATCAAAGAACCAACCGCTTGTAACTGACACCTTCATAAAAGATTCCACACACAATATTTGTTTGTGATAGGTTTGGTCAGAAATAGCTTTTTATTCATTTTTGATACGTTTCTTTTGGTTGTTTGCTTTGTATATATATTTTTGGAAGTCTTCTTACACTGAAATGTTCTTTGTTGTTTGCAGCTTTCTAGAGAAATCCATTCATAATTTAACACACAAACTTCCTTTTGACCTAAACAAAGACACTTGAAGGAAAAAGAGTATTCATTGTTTGATTGTTGTTATTTAATTTCAGTTGCAGTAAGGGTGTCAAACTGTTCCTGGAGGGCCGCAACTCTGTACAGTTTAGTTACAACCCTACTTCAACTGTAGGTTTCAAACAAGCCTGAAGGACTTAAATAGTTGGATCAGGTGTGTTTAATCAGAGTTGGAACTAAACTGTGCAGAGCTGCAGCCCTCCGGTAACTGAGTTGAACACCTATGAGTTACAGTTTCATCTGTTCATTTTAGGGCAGATTTAAGATATTTCGAAACATTTGTAACTGCGCATAAGGAGTTTCTCTGCTGTTTTCGTTTTTTTTTTATTATTTTTTTATTTTTTTTTTTTATAGTAGGCTCAGTTTACAACTGCACTAGAGTTAAACAGTTGAGTTTTACCATTTATGAATCTATTTAGACGATATCCAGAGCTGCGTCCCAAATCGCATACTTATGCACTATTCTACGCCATTTTGTTATATAAATAGTGTAAGTGTGTTCACACTGAAAATTCTAAAAATAATAAGTGCACTTTAATTACCCGGATGATGCACTCATTTAGCCGCTAAAATGAAGTGTGTAATGATGGCACTCAACGACCGCAGGTTTGCTTACGTAGCGGAAAAGGCGGAGCTATCGGACGCACATGTTGAATAACTTTATTTATTTTGGTTGGTGAAAGCAACATTTTCCTACGAGAGTGATTATAGCGCCTCCCGGTGGTAAATGCGGCAACACTCACGGCAGGTATTATTTGATAATTCGGTTGTTTATTTCACTGATTTGGCAACCGTCAAACGTCATCAGGGAAACGGTTTGAATTTCCGCTTAGTAAAAAAAACATTAGTGTGCCATTTGGGACAACACTACATACATATACTATGCTGTTGAGTGTGTATAAGTGCATAAGTCCATAGTGCATGACTGCATAGTGTATAGTGTGCCATTTGGGACGCAGCTCAGGTCTGGATGGAGCACTTTTAGCTTAGCTTAGCATAAATCATTGAATCACATTAGATCATTTGCATCTCGTGCAAAAATGACCAGATTTTTTATAATTTTGCTACTTAAATCTTGACTCATGTAGTAAGACTGACAGAAAATGAAAAGAGGCTATTTTCTGGGCCAATAGGAACAGTACTCTCATTATTCTCATTTTGTTGCTGTAACATGGCTGCAGCGGATGCTACAATATTACACAACACCTGACAATAGTACCCAGCTATGTAACTGTGGAAGCAGGTGGTTACTTTGTTTTTTTTTGATGAAAGTTAGACGTTTTTTGGCTTCTGCGTAATAACATTGAACATACTGCACCCATGGTATAAGAGTTCCTTGATTACTACACCAGAATGAGAATATAGTTCCTACTGTAGTCATAGTAACCTAGAACATCAGCAACTTTTTATTTTAAGTTGGTTTTGGTTACTACATGATGTAACAACAGAAGAGTCAAGCTTTAAATGGAAAAATTATCCAAACTCTTTCGTCATTATTAGATGAGATGCTAATGGTCTAATCCGATTCAATGTTCTATGCTAAGCTAAGCTAAAAGTGCTGCCACCTGACCCGAAGATCAGCTGAATGGATTCAAAAATGGTAAAAACTCAGCTTTTAAATGTTGGGGGGTGTGAAGTTAGCCTATTTTTTTATTAGAAAGTGTAGCGTTACACTAACTTGTTATAAGGGCTCCTCACAGATTGCTTTTTTTTGGTTGTTCTCAGTTGATGATAAATGCATGATTATTAATATGATAATTTGTTCTTAACAGATGTTCTAAATCTCTATAATCTCTTTTTTTATTTAAATGAACTATAATTGGCATTCTTTACCTTTATGGGTGGTAATGTTTTAAATTGTCACATAATTAAAACTTAGTATTGTATAAATTATACATATACAACATACAAGTGCGAAAACGGCATATAGACTGAAAAAAAATAAACCGTTGGTTGAAATTAATTTAATTATGACACACATTTACACTCATCGGAATTGTGTTATTTCAGCTTAACCCAAGAGCAGAATCCATTTTGAACCAATAATGTAAAACTCTGATTTGAATTGAACGTGTCTGGATTATACGCTTATACTCTTCTGGAGCTGATGAATCTCAATCACAAGCCGAATTTTGTTAATTATTGCAGTTCATATTCAACAACTGAACAGCTGCTTTAATAACATTTACTGTTGACTGCGCCTGATCTCAGAACTAGCATTAGCACAGTTTTGGGTCACTTAGTGAAGCAGCAAACATTAATTTTGTTAATAAAGCTGCCAACATCCAAGCTGCCATTATTTAAGGTGGCAAGCTCAAAAACTTACTTAAAATTATTCTAAAAACTCAAAACTAAGTGAAGATTAAACCTTAGTAGGTTTTTTCAAGCTTCAAATGCCTTTAATTACTTTTATGCCCAATTTTAATTCTGTTTTTGTATTCCTAAGACCTTTAAAATTTACCCCTAAGAAATAGTACACCAATACAGCACCTGCACACGTCATCATATGTCATCGCGAGCTCTTGCTTCATATTGTATGAGATGAGACGATCATGACTGCTGTAGTTATTCCAGTTGTATTTTTTTTTATATTTATCTTCAGGGAATAACTGAGGGCAACGATATGATATTATCATAACAATCTAATGTGGCAATAAACTCGTAACTATATGCTGCAGTTACACCGTGGCCATATTCATATATGTAAACACACAAAAACAACATTCACATTATGCCAGACACTGTGAAAAGCCCAAGAACATGATTATGAATGTATTAAAACATGTTTGTTTGTTGTAAAAATGTATAATAATGACAAAGAAGTGCATCTCTTGACTTCTGGGTGCAGCTAAGCAGCCGTTGTGGCTAATGTATTCTGGCCTGTATTGTCTTACCCCTTAGTTTCAAGTGTTGTCCTGAAAAATCTCTCTTTCGAGGGCTATCTAGCCCTTCCCCATAGCCCTACGCCTTCAAGATAAAGAGAATTGGGAAATTGGGCTGTATTGTTAAAACGCTGGAAGCTACACATCCACAACCCAGGTAGTTAAACCAACATAATACCTTAATGTTATCCCAACAGAAAACAATTGTTAACTTTTTTTTTTTAAACAAATTTACCATAAAGCAAATAATTTAAAATAAAGCAAGTTGTTCATGGATTTTGTTGTTTCAGCTCATTTCACCTTTATTTGAGTTAGCAAATTTTTAGCCTTTTTAGTTTTTGCTTATTAAAATAACCTGTGTGTGTGTGAGAGAGAGTGTGTCTGAGTGTGTGAGAGAGAGAGATCTAAAATAAAGTTGTTAATGGGCAACAAACATTTCCATTTACAACAGAATGTGCCTGTGGCTGTGCCTTGTATCCATCCATTAGTGTCTCTGCTCCACTTGAACTGTGTTACCAATGTGCTCTAAAAGAGGTCGACCGACTTCACCCCTAGCTACACAATAAGTGTGAATGGGACATTTACAAATTACACAGCTTTGTTCCAGTCTGATGCATCATAAAATTTTGGTAGGTCAGATACATAGAATGGTTAAGAAGAGCCTACATTACAGTTAAAGTGGGACTGATGCCATGCGAGTATATCAACTTCATCACTTTTATATATATATATATATATATATATATATATATATATATATATATATATATATATATATATATATATATATATATATATATAGTGACAAGTGTCCTGAGAAATCATCAGCATCTCCCTGAATACAGATGAGGATCACCTGCACCCTCTCGTCCCAGTCTGATTGCCAACAGCTGCAGCTCATCAGCCATGATCTATGTAAGCAACATGAGTCTGTTAAAGTGAGAGAGAGACCTCTCCATGTGACAGAGATAACAGCCCTTTCCTTTGCCACTGCAGACAGCAGCTGGTGACCAGAAAAACCCAAGAAGAACACACTGGACTCCTTGCGGCACAAAGAAGAGAGCACGCACTTTGCCTTTCTTCAATTACCCATTTATTCTGATTGTAAATAAATCCACCCTCTTGGGTATTTATTTTAAGCACTATTCCCATGTGATTGTTCACCATATGACACTGGTGGAGAATACAGACATAAGACTTTATCACTGTCACATAGGCTCTTTCACTCTCTCTGTTCCCCCACCCTCTATTTCTTGCCACCCAGCTCATACCAGATGACCCCCCAAGATAACGCTGAATCTTTCCTACAGATGTTCAAAACTACCAGCAATGAGGGATGGCATCCTGATGGCTAGGTGTAGGTCTTGGCCCCCCTGCTGAAGGGTAAAGCTCAGCTCACATTCTTTTCACTTCCTGCCCCCCATGCTGATTCTTATGTCAAGGTGAATTCTGGCCTGATTGGGCTAATCCCCAATCTGTGCTGCCCAGTACTTCTTCGAGTGGGAGTTTAAGCCCTGTTTGATCATGCCCAAGCCACTGAACTGATGCTACTTGCTCATCACTGGCTGCATTAAGGGGGAACTTGTTGTCATTGATTGAATGCTCCGTGCTATTCCCTATTCACACCGATAAGCATTTGAGATGAGGAACCCAAGATCCACCGTGCAGCTCTTCGAGGCCTATGAGCTAGCAGAGGCAGCCCTACAGTGGGAAGGAGGGGAGTGAGCACCAGCATTCCCCTGGAGGGTGGTCCAGGAGCAACGCAGACCAGAGGACACCCAGTAAGCAGGTTGGTGGCTCCCTCACCACAGAATGAACCCATGCCGACAAGGTCCCTGTGCCCCCTGCAAGAGCCTGGCTGGCAGGCTGCATTGTCCACCTTGACTTACCTGTGGGAGCTCCCAAAGTCCTTGTTCAAATTAATGAGAAACAATTTTGGGCTCTCTTGGATTCTGGCACTGCAGTTAGTTTAGTGCAAGCAAAGATATTAGCCCCACTGGCATAAAGCCTCCCTCCCTATAACCTGTGGCCATGGGGATTCCCAACTTGTTCTAGTGGGCAAAGTGACCATTTTAGCTAGCTCCGACACCTGGCCAGTAGAAGTAGG